AGACCCTATGGCTAGTGACAGATCATACCCCAGATGGCGCTCCTTGCTTTTCTTCATTTTTTAAGTTTCTATCTGGATGAAATATTTGAGATTTGTACACCAGGCAGAACAAATAGAATTATGACTCACTTTTCACAAATTGTGTAGTGGATTTCACATACTTTCATGACTGATTTTCCACCACATTTTAAATTGTTCCAAAATGTTTGCTTCTTCTTCCTTTGAGACAGTGGGACATATGTCCCAGTGGAGAGGGGGCGTGGTACCCTCCTCCCTTTCCCTTCCCTGCGGCAGGGCAAGCGAGAAACCACTCTTCTCCCTTTCTCAGCCTGGAAGCTTCATTATTCCCTGGCACAGAACATTTTTCCAGCTCATTAGAATCTGGAGCTAAGATAAAGGAGGGCAGAGCCATTAGGTAGCAATTTATATGTAAATGTGTAAGTTACCAAAGAGAGAGATTTGGCTCTTGTTCTTTAGCAAACAGTCAAGTTGGGACCTTCTGGAAAACGTGTACATCAGCACCTAAAGCCTGCACAGGACTCCTCTGCCAGACCCAAGGTACGTTCTTGTCTTTCTTCACAGGAGACTGAGCCCCAAGGTCAGAGCCAGGACTTAAAACTTGTTTGTGGACTCTGCTGCTAGTGTTTAAGAGGGGATCTTCTGACCACCTCACAGCCTCATGCTCTCCTTTTTTTTCCCCCAGTGTTCCCCCTACCCTTTCTGTACTGGAGATATAACACAGAGGTGCTTTGCCACTGAGCTACATCCCAGACCTTTTCTGTTCTAAGACGGGATCTCATTAAGTTGGCCAGGCTGCCCTTGAACTTGTGATCCACCTTCCTCAGCCTCCTAAGTCCCTGGGATGTGCCACCACACCCGGCTCTTAAGGTTTTCCAGCCTATTTGGGGTGACAAAGATGATCCCCTTTGATCCTGACTTCAGCTGGGCTTCTCTGAGCCCTCTGCTAGACCAGGCTGACCTTGGAGTTTCTTCTTCATTGCTGTAGAATCCAGCTTGAGCAAGAATCCTGCTAAATGGGGTTAGATAGAGAAAATCCTCATCCCTGGTGTCTTACCCTGGCCTGACTTCTGCAACAATTCTACTGTGTTGATTAACAGAATCTGTTACTGGAGTTTTGGGGCAAAAGCCCTGGCTCCAGGGGTTCCAGATGACCAGACTTGGCCGCTTACCCCCTAATGCCAACCAAGGAGCCGAGCAGGAGTGAAGGGCCAGAAAGGAGCTTTAATCAGCATGGCCCTGCTGGACAGCAAGGACAAAGGGGTTCATGGTTTGTCTCTGAGGGACTGAAAGAAGTTTGGGGTTTTAGAAAAAGGGGAATAAAGGCAAGGATTGGGGAATTTGCGTGGCTGATGGTGTAGGCAGTTGTAGTCCTGTCATGGTCTGGTTGATTGGTATCTCAAGGTTGGTTCTGTGAGGTCCTGGGAGAGCCATCATTGCTTCAGGGGACAGTTCAGATCCCATCATAAGATGACAGCTGCTGCTTAGAGGGCAGCCTCGTTGCTGTCACAGGGTAATTGCTCCCACTTCGGGGTGACTTTGTCATGGAGTGGTTTGTGAGGCTCTGCTTTTCCTGGAATCTGAGGTGACTGCAGGTGTAGGACAATGGCTGGAGGCTTCCTGGCATTGCTTCAAGAGGCCTGGGACTGGACGTTATCCTGAAAATTGCTTACTTTTATATTGGTGTCCTCAGTCTTGAAATGGAATGAGGTAGGCTAGGTAAATTTAGGACTAATAAACCCTGTAATACAGACACTCGTTCAATGACTAACATATCTATGTGCAGAACTGAGCAAGGATCTGACCCCGAGTTTTAAGGTAATATTAAGGGAGATGTATAAAGTGAAGACAGAGATGCCAAACTTGGTTCTGCTTTTAGCCATCCTTTGGACATCTGCAGTGTAGCCTCTGAGTCCCTGTTACAAATCCTCTTTACCCCTGACGTTTCCTCTTAGTAATTTTCTATCTTCCCACCTTGCTTCTTGGCTATAAATCTCCATTTGTCCTTGATGGAGTCAGAGTGGAGTCTAATCTCCCCCACCTCCACTTCAGGGAGCCTTGCAGTTGTCCCTGTGCCTGTCCCCGTGGCCCCTGTTGAATCAAGTTTGCCTTATTGTCTTAAACAGGTGTCATGAATCATTTTTTCTCTCAGACTTACCTTCTGGCTTGGGAGCATAGAGCTGAGGGGGAAAGTGTCTTGTACACTCTATTAATAAAGATCAAATTAAGTGCTACGCTGTGTATGTGTGAAGGACAGTCACTAGCAAAAGTACTCTCTGGGCTTTGTCCCAAGCTCTGTTATCAAGGTGCCAGGAATTAAATGGAGGATGCTCTGCAGAAAGGCCAGAGCTGAAGCTGTCTAAAGCTAAAGAGCAGGGACTTCATCCCCGCCCAGGCCTGTCTGTTCTGTCTGTGGTCAGGAGCTTCCCTCAGCCCCTTGTTTCAATCTCTTGAGCATGAGGGATTCGGAGGACGGTGAGAGAGGCAGCCTGTTACCTGAGGGGTGTCAGCCCTCTTCTTCGCCCTCCAGGAAAGCAGGTTTCTGAGAAGCAAAGACGTCTTCACCTCCGCCAACACTTTAGTATGGGTCATACACTAGTTTAGGGCCCTTTTCCCTTGAAACTGGCCCAGAGAAATGATCTTCCTTAGAAGTGGGGCAAAGATTGGGAGTCAGGGGCTGGAGGAAATGTATGTTGGAAGAATCTGGGCAGATCCTTCCACCAGCACATCATTCATTTCATCTTAGGAAATGAAATGCTCCTGTATATATGCACAGTGAGGCTCTGTCTTAGTTACTTTTGTTGTGGCTGAGACAAAATACCTGATGCACAGAGGAGGAGTTGAACTCAGTACCTTGCACTTGCCAGGCAGGTGCTGTGCTACTGAGCTATATACCTAGCCACCCTTTTAAAGTTTAATTTATTATTTTTTCTTTTTTCTTTTAAAGAAAAATAGACAAATACAAAATGATACAAAAGGCTAGTTTTTTTTTTCTTTTTTCTTTTTATTTATTTTATTTTACAGGGAATAGTAAAAAAAAAGAACAATAGCAAGATACAAACAAAACAAAGAAAGAACATTAAAAATGCTACGGGGTTTCAAACCAAATGATAAGAATTAACAGTGGTTGTTATATTACATATTGTTATCTCCAACAAAGTTGCTCAGATTACCAGA